AAACACCAGTCGGCGGCGGCGAAGGCAAGCCGGTCGGTGAAGACGTGGACGCCCAACAACAGCGGCATAAAGGCCAGCCGTGCAGGCGGAAACACCAGTCGGCGGCGGCGAAGGCAAGCCGGTCGGTGAAGACGTAGACGCCCAACAACGGCGGCATAATAGGCCAGCCGTGCAGGCGGCGAAGGCAAGCCGGTCGGTGAAGACGTAGACGCCCAACAACGGCGGCATAAAGGCCAGCCGTGCAGGCGGAAACACCAGTCGGCGGCGGCGAAGGCAAGCCGGTCGGTGAAGACGTAGACGCCCAACAACGGCGGCATAAAGGCCAGCCGTGCAGGCGGAAACACCAGTCGGCGGCGGCGAAGGCAAGCCGGTCGGTGAAGACGTAGACGCCCAACAACGGCGGCATAATAAGCCAGCCGTGCAGGCGGAAACACCAGTCGGCGGCGGACGAGGCGGCCGGTCGGTGAAGACGTAGACGCCCAACAACGGCGGCATAATAGGCCAGCCGTGCAGGCGAAAACACCAGTCGGCGGCGGCGAAGGCAAGCCGGTCGGTGAAGACGTAGACGTCCAACAACGGCGGCATAAAGGCCAGCCGTGCAGGCGGAAACACCAGTCGGCGGCGGCGAAGGCAAGCCGGTCGGTGAAGACGTAGACGCCCAACAACGGCGGCATAATAGGCCAGCCGTGCAGGCGGAAACACCAGTCGGCGGCGGCGAAGGCAAGCCCGTCGGTGAAGACGTAGACGCCCAACAACGGCGGCATAATAGGCCAGCCGTGCAGGCGGAAACACCAGTCGGCGGCGACGAAGGCAAGCCGGTGGTGATGTTCTGACTGATCCATTCCTGGAGCGTAAGAGATAAGCTTAAAGCCATGAATCCCTTTTATGCATATCTGGATCTAGATCCTGCAGAACAAACATATAGGATGAGTAGTATCTGATATAAATATAATACTCGAGAAAAAATCAAGTATTTTAAAATATTTATAAATATGTATTTCTCCTCTTGTCAATTTTGATTTCCCCGAGCAGATGACTCTGTACGTTTAAACACTCTGTCCGACTAGTCATAGCCCCCAAGCATCGGGAGTCGGCCTAGGCATTTCCCAAACATGCATATGAGTGACATGAGTTCATCATTAATGGAACAAAGTTTCACGGATTAGAATTTACTACTCGGGTACTTTTGCAATTATTAAGAGCAGAAAATAAATTTATCTCATCTCTATGCTTTTGATTTATTCCGAATAATACTTAGCACCTTGCGTTACTCGGTCCATCCAACGAGCCCCCGAGTGCTAGGAATCGGCCCAAAGGCAACCATCCATTGGCAAACCAAACGGAAAGCATAGGAAGATAGAACTCCATAACTCGATAGGTACTTTTGTACTCAAATTATGTCGCAAGCAATCAAGATAAATATTATAAAAAATATGATATAACATCTGTAGCCCCCGACTCACTACTCAATGGAAGACCAATTGGTGTAGTGAGGCAGAGGAAAAGGAAAAATATCATATAAAGAATAAAATAAATGATGACTTAGCTTTGTAATATTCCCCTTGGTGATGGCAGAAGTGGCCAATGTGGGAACAAAGTCGTCCATCAATAACAATGAAGACACCAGTCAGCGGCGACGAAGGCGGTCGACGGTGAAAGCGAAGATGCCCACTAATGGCGGCATAATAGGTCAGCCGTGTAGGCGGAGGCACCACTCGGCGGCGACGGAGGCAGGCCAGCGGTGAAGTCGTAGACGCCCAACAGCGGCGGCATAATAGGCCAGCCGTGTAGGCGGAGGCACCACTCGGCGGCGACGGAGGCAAGCCGGCGGTGAAGTCGTAGACGCCCAACAGCGGCGGCATAATAGGCCAGCCGTGTAGGCGGAGGCACCAATCGGCGGCGATGGAGGCAGGCCGGCGGTGAAGATGACGATGCCCATCAACGGTGGTGTGACCAACCGACCGTATAGGCGGGGACACCAGTCGGCGGCGACGGAGGCAGGCCGGTGGTGAAGTCGTAGACGCCCAACAGCGGCGGCATAATAGACCAGCCGTGTAGGCGGAGGCACCACTCGGCGGCGACGGAGGCAGGCCGGCGGTGAAGTCGTAGACGCCCAACAGCGGCGGCATAATAGGCCAGCCGTGTAGGCGGAGGCACCACTCGGCGGCGACGGAGGCAGGCCGGCGGTGAAGATGACGATGCCCATCAACGGCGGTGTGACCAACCGACCGTATAGGCGGGGACACCAGTCGGCGGCGATGGAGGCAGGCCGGTGGTGAAGTCGTAGACGCCCAACAGCGGCGGCATAATAGACCAGCCGTGTAGGCGGAGGCACCACTCGGCGGCGACGGAGGCAGGCCGGCGGTGAAGTCGTAGACGCCCAACAGCGGCGGCATAATAGACCAGCCGTGTAGGCGGAGGCACCACTCGGCGGCGACGGAGGCAGGCCGGCGGTGAAGTCGTAGACGCCCAACAGCGGCGGCATAATAGGCCAGCCGTGTAGGCGGAGGCACCAATCGGCGGCGACGGAGGCAGGCCGGCGGTGAAGATGACGATGCCCATCAACGGTGGTGTGACCAACCGACCGTATAGGCGGGGACACCAGTCGGCGGCGACATAATAGACCAGCCGTGTAGGCGGAGGCACCACTCGGCGGCGACGGAGGCAGGCCGGCGGTGAAGTCGTAGACGCCCAACAGCGGCGGCATAATAGGCCAGCCGTGTAGGCGGAGGCACCACTCGGCGGCGACGGAGGCAGGCCGGCGGTGAAGTCGTAGACGCCCAACAGCGGCGGCATAATAGGCCAGCCGTGTAGGCGGAGGCACCACTCGGCGGCGACGGAGGCAGGCCGGCGGTGAAGTCGTAGACGCCCAACAGCGGCGGCATAATAGGCCAGCCGTGTAGGCGGAGGCACCAATCGGCGGCGACGGAGGCAGGCCGGCGGTGAAGTCGTAGACGCCCAACAGCGGCGGCATAATAGGCCAGCCGTGTAGGCGGAGGCACCACTCGGCAGCGACGGAGGCAGGCCGGCGGTGAAGTCGTAGACGCCCAACAGCGGCGGCATAATAGGCCAGCCGTGTAGGCGGAGGCACCAATCGGCAAAAGTAGTGCCGCGGCGTTACATGCAAACAGCAGAAAATACCAAGAGAGATTAATCTGACATTTAGAGATCAATCTAATAAACAACAATAAGTTGAAAAGGAAAAAACCCGGCGAAGTCGGAGATTAAAAGGAAAAAACTCGCCGAGATTGATCTCTTCGACTGACTCCGAGACGGAGCGGAGGAGGCGGAGGTCGCAGTCGCGGGCGGCGTTGGTGTCCATCAGCACGACGCAGGACGGCAGGAAGGCATCGGCGTGGCTGCAGCCGTCTCTTATGCATCCGATTAGATCGGTTTTGGCATGCTTCGTGTTTGTAGATCCATCTTGCAACACCATGGCATCCTCGTTGGGTAGATTGGACCAGTAGGCGTGGTGGTGGACGAGGACGACCATCAAATCCGTCGAACTGTCGTTGCCCCGTCGTTGCCGTCGTGCTGATGCAAACAAGATCAGGCAGAGAATAGCAGCGACGATTCGTCTTGTTGAAGTCGTCGGCGGCGAGGAATCAAGGAGCTCCCAAAGCGAAGACGAAGCCGGCGACTCATAAAGTTGATTCCATCGCACTCGTTGTCAGGAAACTCGGCGTTTACCCCTACCTGGCGCGCCAACTGTCGAAACATGATTTCGGCAATAATAAAAGGGGGTAGCGCACGAGACCTAAAAGTGGATGGATGCGGAGACAAAGGATTTAGACAGGTTCAGGCCCTCTCAATGAGAGGTAATACCCTACTCCTGTTTGGGGATTTGAATCCGCCGGGTGTAGTATAGATCTGACGATCAGGTTGTCTCATCATGCCCCTAGAGGGGCTCCCTGCCCTCCTTATATAGGTTGGGGGGCAGGGTTACAAGATAGAAACCTTAACCAATACGGTATCGGTTTCCTAAATCTACTTTACAATCTTATCAAACCAGGACTTTAGGCCGTTCCATAATATACAGGGAAACGTAATACCCAAGTCATGATCTGTTACATATTTCATATATATAAGTTATCCCCTATAACTAGTCGGATAACCATGCCGTGTGGGTATGGGGTACCCATAATCTCCACAGATACTCATCTCGTTTATCTCGTTTATCCGATGTAAAGGTATAGCTGGTCCGGATATGCAGCTGCCGCTCCGTTTTACACAAGGGAACTCCCGGGGGAGTCGATGTGGACCATAGCCGAGGCGCTCGGCTCCGGTGCAATGCGCGTGGCTAGAGTCCAGAAACAATCTTCAACAGCCCACGGCATGCAGCTCCGGCCGTACATGCAAGACAATTAATCACGAAAATAAATCTGGTTAGTGTCAGTACTATAAGGATATATGCATATATCAGTTGTATGCATGCAACATGCATGCGTGTAGATGCATGTTAATCTAATCCTCCTTGCATGCATCAGATTGGTATACGAAAACCAATCTGCACAGTGCACCACATCGGTACTGCCTCCTGCATGCACAGTGACCCGCACGGCGACAGCGCACCGGCGTGCCGCGTGCCTCCATGTGCTTGTAATCCATCCAGCCAGCCGAGGCAGATGGTTCAAGTCGCGTCGTTCCTGACGTCCATTTGTCCAGGTGGCTTGCACGGATGGTGAGCAACCACACCGTACCATCCCGGCGATTTGCATCACGAGGCTCGCCATCATCCGGACATGAAAACAGAAAATACTAGCGCATTAATCTGTAAATTAGAAATCAATCTAACAACAAGAACAGATTGGAACGACAAACCGGACAGACGGTCGTGTTGGCCGGCGACGAGCAGTACACAGATAACAGATCAATCTCCGGATTAGCGTACGAGCAATCTCATGCTGATAACGTGTTAAATAACTAGTGGCCTATTCGCTGATCCGGAGTAGAAGACAACGATTTCATTCACACAATCATATAGTAGATGAACACGGATATAGAGAGAGGCATCACAGCTTTATTGCTTTCTCATATGTGGATACATCAACCAACCTCTCAAACCCTCTATCTCAGTATATATACCCATAATAGGAAGAGTCCTATTAGGATACGTTTCCATATATTTGGTATGAGCTCATATTTATCTCTGGTAGGAGATAATAGTTTCATAACATATACATGAACATGGACGATATTTTACAAGGTGGCAAGCCACACAGTAGAGATTTACTCGTGTTGATGAACTGCAGTACATCTTATTGATTTCTACTGTAGAAGGAAGCAACGACATAATTATAACATTTGGAGCTTTGACATACTAATTTTATATTACTGTTACACGTACTATACATACGTGCTCGATCCAAGTCTCGTCTACATTGCAAGAAAATACAAATAATAGTCCTCTCATACATATGTTCATGCATCACCTGTGTAGTAAATTTGATCAATTTCCTCCAACATCTTGCTCTGTTCGTTGATTGCTCTGAGAAACTCCTTGGCAGTTAGGGTAGGTTCCAAGTGGGCACTGGTGATCATTGCTAGGAGGTCCAGTTCTTCCATCTGTTCCAGACATCAAATTACGCATCACCTTCAGTCCCAAATCCGTTTTGTGATATCCATCCTTCGCCATGTTTCTCGGCATGCCGGTGCAGAGGTTGATGAAAACCAGCAGGACGAAAAGGAAGGCACCCAGCTTCATGGTAACCTTGTTAAATACATGAAATATAAGATAAATAGAACACCCGAATTGATATTGATCTGATCACAGATTGATCGATGAAGAAGCATAAAATTAGCACATCTAAAAAAAAACCATAACCACTAGTTCAATTCATAAACGAAGTGCAGCACACTTACTGAATTCTGTGCAGATCTGATGAGGTGAGTGACTTTTAGTGAATCTTCTTTTGCTTCAGGAAATGTGATGTGATAAGCTACGTACTTATAGGGGCTGAAAGTAGATGTGTTTTGCCTTTTAAATTTGTTAAAATATGGTTTTACTGTTGAAAATGGATACTCCACTAATTAAAGATTGTGTGGGAAATCTGGGGTGGTATGGAAAATACTTTCATGACTTGATCAATGCTTTGTGAGTGAAAACATTTGTTGCCCTCATCAGACCGCAGGCTGAAAGATGTACATAAAATCCAGATAACCTTTTTGGAGTTGTCAACAGCAGTGAATAAACAACTTGTATTATATTTAACTAGCATTACAATGGCTGTTATTTTCAACTGTCGTATCAGGATGATATATGGAGGTGGTTTTCCCCAATATATATCATCATTATTGGACCTGTAAACTTCAATAAAAAAACTGCGCTAAAATATAGAGATGGAAGAAAATGTACAAGGACCACCGTGATATCTCTCTGAAAGCAAAATATACATCTCGTTAATTAGACATATCATGTACCACGACTTGTTTAAACTCCAAGATTATGTATTTGCTATAGGTTTATAGGAATGTGATATTTGGTCAGCATATCTTGATATTTACAAAGTCATCCTATACATCGATCCCTTCCAACTAAAATAATTACATCTAATTTAAATACATGTACCTATGCTGAGTCAGGAATCGAACTCTATGATTTTGTACAGCTAGCGTTGCTGTTGATGGGCATATCAATCCTTAGGATTACATACATCCTTGCGGTTGACGGGCACATTGATTCCTTACAACTAAAGTAATTAGGGTGAATAGCTAAAGTGGTCCTCCAAGTTTTATCCGAGGCTCAGTTTAGTCCTTGATGTTTGAATCTATCTATATTAGTCCTTCAAGTTTTTATTTTACTTCACGCTTATCCTTGAAGCCACTTAGAAGCCACATTGCTAAACATAACCAACAACTTCCTTGATAAATGACACTTATACCCCCTCATTCACATATATAAGAGAAAAAATTGCATGCAATGAATTTTTTATAGATAATGAATAGTAATTTATGTATAACGAAAATAAATTATGTACTTGCAAGTGTATCGATAGCCATTGCTTAAGTTTCATGTGCACATGCTGAAATAATAAGAAATACATCTGCAATGCTGTTTGTTCATCTTGATTTTCTCTTTTCTATTGTATAGTTGTATAGAAATTAAAGGCAAATAGGACATTTTCCAACAAAAATATTGACTAGGGATGGCCATATGGCATATATATTAAGTGGGCTCATGGATGATTGCCAAAACAAATACTTAGGGGATCTATGTGGATAAAATAAAACCTGGCGGACCAAATTGATCATTCGGTGAAGTTTGAGGAACTAAATTTGCTATTCACCCAAACAATTACATGTAAATACAAGTGCATATGATGAGTCAAGTACTCGAACTCTCATGAACATATACCACCGTAAGAAACCTAACATGATGTATTTTCTGATTTTCGATGGTACATTAAATCCATTTCTCTATTTATTTGATTACTGATACAAGGGTTTTAGCAACTCTATGGGCTGGTTGTATATTTGTGGGTTAGCTGGTTGTACATTCTCTCTTTTTTAGAAACACTTTTTCTATCTTTGCAATATCAGTATCGACAAATGTAGAGTAACGTGGTCGGAAAATAAATAAAATAAATTGTGCTCTTAGTCTACGACAACAGTTCCACGTGCATAATGTGTTCCATTGCATCATCAATATTTTTAATATACGTACAGAAGCTATAAATATTTATAAAAGTAAGAACTTCTCAAATACAGTAGGTCATTTCTCTTTGCAATATCAACAATTATTGGGAAATCACATTGGTTGCACACAATGAATACTTTTATTTGCCCATTTTTGGCCATAAAGTTTGGATTTTGCTCGCTCTACCAATATGTGTCACCTAGTTGCAATGGAATTAACAATTCACATTTAACATTTCAAATTAGCCACTTTACCATTTAACCTAAGCATCACGTATGATATCCTAATAATTCGGACGCCATATTCTTTCAAGTTGACTTCCGATCCATCAGCGAAAACGCTTTCTCAAGGCATCAAGACACACCTACGCATGAATCAAACAAGAAACGATATGCGTACACAAGTTCTTTCTCAACTTAACTCAACATTATCACACAACAGTATTACATACATATATATATAAGTCATAAACATGAGATAATCACGAGTGTCCAAATAATTAACCCGATACATACTCCAAACAGTACCAGCCAGTCAGACTATTGAGCTGGCCGGTCTGATCGCACTTATCACATCGGTCTGACTGGCTCCACACAGATAGCAAAAAAACACTTCGACAATAATCTCCAAATACGAAAACCAATTATCTATCATGTCAATTGTTCATTGCAAATTAATAATCAAAACACAGTTTAATTTCCCAATCTCCCTCTTAATAAACACATTGGCAAACCCATCAAAATGTTGTTTTGGTGTTTGAAAAATATAAAACAAAGTAATTAAAAAAATCACAAAATCTATTTTGTGAGAGTTGAGTGTAGAGAAAAGTTAGGGTTTCGAGTATACTAGGATTTTGGGAGAGGAGTGTTGTTGTTCCACCTTGCAGACATGAATAGAAGTAGCAAATTTCAATCTACCTTCAAGAGTTCTTCACTTACTGTTTGCTCTGGTTCAGTGGTCAGATCAGCAGCAACTGCCTGGTCAGACTGGCGGCTCAATGGCGGTGAGACTGGTGATGGCCGGCGACAGGCTGCATCAGGTGACTGTAGGGTATTGGATCGAAGTTACAACATCGGTCAGACAGATCGTATCTAGGAGGTCAGACCGGCTAATCTATTTTGGTTAGATCGATCTCCATAAATCTCGAGGGTAACTTTTAGTTCCGCTAAAAGTTTATGTTTTTGGTGTTCTTACAATTCACCTTCTCTGGTAGGCTTAGTTCTTATTGTTCAATCCTACACACCATTCATCCTTAATGCTGACATATTTAGGTTTATCCCATGGCATGGCAAAAAGGATCTAATGGTTTTTAATTAATTACTGCCCACTGCAAAAAAATCACACAGAAAAAATTAATGACATTGCCAGCTTGATTAATAATGCAATTATCATGCATGGAATAATTAATCTACCCGACATCGGCATCAATACTCTCATTTCCTAGAACCTATAACCGGATGAGACATTTCCTAGGGTTAGGGTTTAGGGTACGAATCCGGATGGGACCGCACCCATTGGAATATTTATTTCCAGTTCGATAGAAGAGAGAAACCGCGTGAAAGTTTTAAAATACCATTAGCCCCACTTGTCAGGTCTCCATCTCCGCTCTCTCTCTCTCTCTTTCTTGGCCAGTGAGCACACAACGCATATGGAGTTGGCTCCACCAGAAAGCACCGAGGCAACGTAGATTCACTATGCGAGTGGTGAGACCGGGTCTGGTGCTGCACGAGCACCAAGGCATTTTGCCGCAGCTATTCTCAGGAGGCAAACACACCAACGACAATGACACTCGATAGCACAGTGTGCTTGACGGCTGGATCCCTAGATACATATAATCATCGTGACGAGCTTGATCAAGGCTGGCGCAGACTTAGGCGGCAAGCTCCTTGGCTAGCCAGTAGTCACCGTGGATCCAGTCGGCGAGCTTGCATGAAGTGAGTACGGGTCTAAGTGGGGAGCTTCGAGTCTTGCGCCAGCCAGCTCTGTGGGCATCACCTCTCCTCTCTCCTCTACTCCGCATCGGCTATCTTGAGCCTTCTTCTCCAGCTCGTAGATTAAGGTGGTTCTGTCGGGAAGCATCGAGGCATCCAGGAGAAGGAGATAGAGACCTGACTTTGTATATTCTTTCAAGTGGTATTTCATAACTTTCAAGTGCTTTCTCTCTTCTATTGAACCAGGAATGGATATTTTATTGGGTGTGGTGTACAGCAGCAAATTTTTACATTTTGAGAGTGTTTTTCCTAAAAGTCACTTCGTGTGTTGTCTTACAACTAAAACCGTGAAATCAGAATGTTCTTTATAAACCAGCCACATTTGTATCGATGTTAACCAAAAAGCGATAGAAGATACACCAATGTGGGCGAAAATTATTTGGCTTTTTCGTAGGGGTTAATTCTTATTTAATTACACTCTTGTCTCTTAGAAAGAGCTCTAATCAATCGGATAAGACAGATGGAGGTACCTTGACTCTTCCAAGATAAACAGATGGTTGCATATAAATTATAATGCAATGCAAATAAAGAACAGATTTTGGAAATTCTATAAAATTCGACTAAGAGGTTGTTCATCGATGTATGCACAATTTCTTGAGCTGGTTTAATTATGTCTTGAGTGCACACTAGTGGAGAAACCATCTTTGCTGGGTTGGGAAAAACCGCATTAGCCCCGGTTCGAATAGGAACTGGGACTAAAAATTATCTTTAGTCCCGATTCAAAAGCTCTGGGGTACTTTTTGATCTTTAGTCCCGGTTGGTGTTACCAACCGAGACTAAATATCATATTTAATCCCGGTTCAATTACTAGCAGACTAGGTATTACCAAATGGGAGCAAATATTGCTTTCCCAGGACTTAGCAGTCGTCGTCGCTATCTCGTCGTCTACCTTTATCGAGTCCCGTCGTCCTTAGTCCCCTCTCGGCCTGTCAGTCTTCCGTCCGCTCCGTCCGTCCGTGTCGTCTACTTCGTCAGTCCGTCCCCTTCCCCTCTCCCTCCTTGTCCCCCTTCCCTACCCCCCGGAGGGCCACAGGCGGCGGCGCCAGGCTCGGCCATCGCGCGCGAAGGGCGGCGGCCGACGTGGAGGCCGCAGGCGGCGGCGGCAGGCGTGGCCATTGCACGCGGTGTTCCGCGCGGAGGGCGCCGTGGTGGTTGCGTGGGTGAATATTTTTCTTTTTTTTCTCTTTTTTCCGTGTTAATTTGTGGATGATTGTTTGTTGATGATAATTTGTTCATTTGATCTATGATTATGTTGTTGTGGATGATTTGTGATGATTTCAGGATGATTATGTTGTGGTGAATGATTTGGGATTATGTTGTTGTGGATGATTTGGGATATCGGGAAATAATATTTTGATATTGGAATGATTTGGGGATGGCATGAGATATGCAAAATAGCAAAAAAGCAAAAAAAAAACTTTAGTCCCGTAGCAGAAATCAGGACTAAAGATGGAAAAAACAGCCACATGGCTTTACCATCTTTAGTCCCGGTTATTTCAACCGGGACTAAAGATGGGCATCTTTAGTCCCGGATTCGTTGTCCCGGTTGCATTTACGAACCGGCATTAAAAACCCTTTCTCTAGCAGTGGCATGTCTCCTTGTACTTATTTCAGAGGAGCCATCGGAAGTTTTGGAAAGCCAGAGACAAGCTGAGACTGTAGAATATATACATTCTTTCAAAAATAATTAATAATAACTGAGTTAGAAAATATCGCAAAAAGTAGGAAAGATTTATATATATATAAACCAAGAGCACATTGTTAGTTTTCTCATTTTGTTTTTCATTGCCAAGAAAACATTGGGCTGGAGCATAAATGCTTTATGCTAATGTCTGAATCAATGGCAAAAACCAATTTAAGTGAAACTAACATAGCCCAATTGCAAAAATTCACCCACTTTCAGTTGTTTGTTATCTTTAGTTGGTGGACGATCAATGTTTTCAGGTCAAAGAAGTTATTTAATAATGGAAATCCACAGTACCGTTTTTATCTCCTATAAATATAGCATGTCATCTGACTACATTTTTCTGCAAACAAAGCCAGGGAAGGTGAAAGAATATTTTATAGCAGTATCTTTTACCATGTTTACATTGAGAGTCATTAATCTCAAAATATTAACCTTTCTTTTGCAGGGCCTGCAGGAATTAATGAAGATGAAGGCCGCTCTTTTGATGATACTAGTGGTGGCCGTTTCTTTCAATTTGTGCACTTGCAATATTCCAGGGAACATGGAAGAAGAACATGGTATGTACAAGGATGTGCATGCTGGGAAGGACATGCGCAAGCTGATCGATATTGATGGAAGGACTGCCCCTACAGGCCATGACTATGACCATGTCTGTCCACGTGGTATCTATCCTTGCTGAATAATAATGTCCTAGTTCTCAATAGGACCAGAAGCTATTGGAGCCAACTAGTAATTAATAGCATCATCTGGAATAATTGTAGAACAAATATTTGGATGTAAGATTTGTGTATGTTTGAATCCCCACGGGGCTATTGGTGTGAGTGCAATATATCTAGTTTATATGGTTTGTAACGTGTAATTCTTAAAATAGTATATATATGCTATAAAAATACTTTAGTGTTCCATTGCATTATAGTTGCCTGCGTTTATTTCTAACAGAGATTATGAATTATGATAAATCTGGCATTTCACCTATGTAGGAAATAGAAATGGTATCTACGTGTTTTTTTAGAATATCCATGTATATAGATCACCGCATGCATACATTTAACATTTGTAATTTCAAATTCATACTGCCAACTAATATGATCAATTTTATATTTGGATCAAGTTGTTAGATTTGCAATATATGATCACATATTGTAAACATTATTGGCAATGACAAATGAATATTGCAGACATTGTTGCCAAATTTGATCTCCTAAAAAGTATAGGTCACAGGATAATTGTTCTTGTAGTTCCAAAAAAACGTATGGATTAATGCAGCTTACAAAATGCATCTCTAGAAAGTTCTGGCTGGAAATTGAGATAAAATCTACAAATTGCCACTAACCTATTATTCTTTAAAGTAAAATAGTTCACCCACTCAAGTTGTCATGGCGTTTAATTAGTGGAGAACCCATTTTCCACAACTAAAATGGCGGATCAAGCATTCTTAAAAGAAATAGTACTGCATCTGCATCCTATAAATAACACCAGTTTTTAGCTGTATTCCACCATTCGCAAATTTGTCCATCACCGCCAAGACCATCTTCAACATTCGGTAAGTACATGATAATGTCATATCACTTAATTGATCTCTTCTTATTTGCAAAAGTTATGCCATGCATTCAAATTAATGCTCCGTTATTGTTCAAATTGTAGGGATCGCAAGAGAAAATGAAAATAATTGCGTTCCTCTTTGTTGGTATGATTTTTGTCTGTTCATGCACTAATTGTGTGTTATGGAATATAGAATCAGGTAGACCACCGGAGGATTTGCACCAGAATAAAATGAGGAATTTATTGGCCAGCACTGATAGAAAGGTTGCTCCTGGCGATAGAATTGATCATCGGTGCCAACGTATCAATTATCCAAATTGCAAGTGAATGAGCTATTGGTAAAGCAAATGAGGTACCTTAAAGATACTGAATGTCAGTGTAGGAAATAAGATGTAATTAGCTAGGCTGGTTTGTATTTGTAATATAAAATTTTATGCATAACTATTCAATTTAGTATATATTGTTCAATCATATTGAGAATTATACACTTGTGATGTTTTGTTGGAAATAATATGTCTCATGGTGTTAGACATCGTAGTGCATGTGGCATTGGTAGGTAGTACTTTGAATCAGGTTGGTTAACTTTTTTGAATTTGGCAACAATTCTTCATCCCACAATGAAAATATTTTTGGCTGTATTTTTATTGTTTTATATTTAGATGGTAAGATTCTTATTATTAAATAATAAGAGAGATTACAAACCTGTTGTTTAAAGAAATATAAATAAAAAATATATAAAAACTAATTATATGTAATATCTTTGAATGCCACAGAATATAAAGCTGACCAACTCTTGCAAATGCAAAAACTTATGAACAAAAATCAACTACCTTCATTATTCTTCCAACAGAACAACAAACCGTTGTCACCGAACAAATTGATGACCCATATGCCATAGATGGCACCGCTGATTTGATTATTGACAACCGTTCAGGCGTGCAATCCTTGTATTTATCGATGACCTCGCTAGCTGGAGAGTCACCAACAAAGAGTTAAAAATCCTTACATCGTAATTATCATGGAAGATGAACACCATGAACCTAATTATCTAATCCTTCAAAGACTTCATTGAGAAAACCCTAAAAACATACAAAAGACAGATGAAACACTGGAGTAGCAGGAGATGTGGCAAGACACAAGGGATGGGTTTATGATGTTTCCCATTCATTTATTGATTTCCTAGAAGTCATGATTATAAAAAAATATTGTTCCTATAGGAGATTGCAAGTATTATTTAATTTCTTAATACCATGGATGAGGTCTATATTCATTTATTGATTTCCTAGAAGTCATGATTATAACAAAATATTGTACCTATAGGAGATTGAAAGTATTATTTAATTTCTTAATACCATGCAGGACGTCTATGCTTTGTGTATGCAATACCCAAGTATCCAAATACACGCAATTAGCTGGAAAATTACCAAACTACACACACTATATCAAGAATTTGTGATAAATATCAACAAAGTCTACCAAGTATTTGTATAGAAATACATATTATGTACACACTCTGTCCCAAAATTAATATAGTTTGCTTGGTTAAGGTCAAATTTTGAAAGAGGGGGTGATTTTGATTGGTTGAGATGAGAAGCATATATGAAAATTAAAGAAAAGATAGGTATCATAGGTTGAGATGTAAGAGTAGGTGGAGGAAAGATGTTTATGCCTAGTTTTATTGAGGGACTAGGTCGAATAGTTATATTCGTGACAAAATTTTAATGAAAGAAATAAGAAAATTTTGTAGTAGTTAATAAGAGTACTACTAGTAGTAAATAATATTCATAAACAATATGTAGAGGCAATTGGTTGTGGCCTGCGAGTCTTCCCTTCATCCTTCTGATGTCGCTAAGTTTTAAGATATCCTATAAGTTCATCCCTAGAGTTTTCCCTCTATCCCTATTCGGTTTGTTAATACCATTAATTTATTATCTAATCTTTTCAAAATGACTATATTGCCTTTTACTTGGACATAGGTTCAAGATTAATTAAAAGAATAATTCTCAAAAGTTGAAATCAATTTCAGCTCTTAAAAACCAGAAGGGATATAATTATTTGTCCCCATATTTGATAACGGAATTTTAAATTTTGAAATGCTTTTCAGTTAAATTTGTTGTCTCTTCAGGGGTACATTTCACCTCTACCTCTATATGGAAATTTTCTTCGAATTTGGTTGGGATTGATTTAAGGAAATACAAATTTTTTTTTGGTATAAGGAAATGTAGAAATGGGTGATTTGTGCAATTTCCACTTTTGAAATTTCATCAAACTTGATTTATATTCATTTAAAAAAATGTTTCTCTTTTAATCCCTTCTATATCCATTTTGTTTGTCATCCTTAAGTTGACAGTAAGATTCTCATTGTTACAAATCCAGTGCCACCTTGGTATAAAAATGATTTTACTAGTGAGAACATCAATTATAAGACATTAAATGGTTCAAAGTTGTTTCACCCAAATTTCCGAAACAAATGTAGGGGATAAGCTAAAACTCATAGAACAAAAATACAGAAAAACTTTGGGGCCCGCAAGGAATTTTCACAAAACAATGTAAGCCCTGTTTAGTTCCAAGTGTGAAAAGTTTTGGCGTGTCACATCGGATATACGGACACAAATTTGAAGTATTAAACGTATAGTAATAACAAAACAAATTACAGATACCGCCTGTAAACTGCGAGACGAATTTATTAAGTCTAATTAATCTATCATTAGCAAATGTTTACTATAGCACTATATTGTTAGATCATAGAGTAATTAGTCTTAAAAGATTTGTCTCGCAATTTACACGCAATCTATGTAGTTAGTTTTTTTTGTCTATATTTAATACCCATGTACGTGTCCAAACATTCGATATAACAGGGCGAAAAGTTTTTGCATGGGAACTAAACAGGGCCTAAGACAACTAACACCAAGAAAATCACACGAGCAAGCATGAAATACATCAACTGTATTTACAATTACAAGGTTTGATATACTGATTATATAAAACAAATAAGTATAGTTAATTGGATATACTAATATACTACACTGAAATGAAAATTAAGGGCGAAATCTTGCAGAATCACACCTTTCCAATATCATCCTTTGCGATTTATGATTACATCGACGAACTCTAGCTAAGGGACTAACACCACTTGCTGGTGGTATTCACTTCTAATGTTCTATTGTATTGATATTTGCAAAACTGTGGTCCATATAATCGAAGATCTCTCAAAGTAGATTGAAAGTTATTACTTTTATTCGTGTTTACAAAGTGCAACAACACTACTCCTCTCAAATAGATCGACTAAACTCGAAACCCTAACTTTTCTCTAAACTCAATTCTCACAAAATTTATACCGGAAGGAGGCATCAACTCCCCTCTCTATTTATACCTGAGGTAGGTAGCCTAAAGCCACAAACTCAACTTGTACAAGAAGTCCTAATCTCCAAGGAAACATTCCCGCAAAGGAAACAAACTTTACAAACTCTAATCATACCAAACTTGGACCTTTCCAAATTCTACTCTTCATCTCATACGCACACAATATCTCCACCGTATGCCATGTGGAATCTTCACAAACCACGTACATTGATCCTTAGCCTAAGCATCTCGGATGCTATCCTGATCATCTGGACGTCATATTCTCCTAAGTTGACTCCCGATCCATCAGCGGCAACACTCTCTCGAATCACACCTACACATGAGTCAACCAAGAAACCATATCCGAGCACAAGTACTCTCTAACTTGACTCAACATTTGCACACAATAGTATTGCTTACGCATTGTATCCATCTAGAAGTCATAAACATGAATTAATCACGAAAATCCAAAGAAACATCCTGAAACTGAAACTAACACAGAGCCGACAGGTTAGACCATCGGGCTGGCCGGTTTAACCATGCAACACACACTGGTCTGACCGGCCGAGTCCACCCGATTTGACCGGACCCAAATTGACAATCACAATCCTATTTACATCTTCCAAAACTACTTCGCTAAATATCTCCAATATCTACACCAATTATCCCCAATACCCATTGCTCATCATGAAATAATGATCAAAACACACTTTGATTTTATAGCATGATCTCATGTTTATATCTACAAAACTACTATGAAAATAATACAGTAAACTGGCCATATTTTTTTTTAGATAATGGAATTACTTCCGGCATTTGCTCAACGAGCTACAACCATTTATTACACCAAATCGCTCAAAAGCATTCACAATCTAATGAAACCACAAAGCACACCAATTTAACGTAAAGCAACACAAGCTAATAAGCACCAACACAAGATTAAAGACCCACAATTATTGAATCCTCTTCGTGGACCTCCATCTGTAGTTGGCGAAAATCTGCATGACCATTGACACAAGTTTACGACATGCATCATTTATTAGCTTGATGTCTTCATCACACCTTTGTAGTTGAGCCCAACACTGAAGCCAGTATGTTGCCCTGAAAAGTACATGTATATAAGATTTTTATGGTGCTTTATAATAAACCATATCATTTCTACTAAGCCAAGCCTAACATATTGCAGATGCTCCTACAAGGATAAGTTTCTTGGTTTTTTATCAATACCCACAAGCCAATCCCTAAAAATATGATATATACTATGTGGATGGTATAACCCAAAAGCAATATGTACTGCTCTCCAAATAAATCTGGAAAAATGGCAATCCAAGAATAAATGATAAATTGTCTCATTTTTCATACAAAAACAACATCTCAAATTACCATTCCAATTCCTCCTAGCCAAATTATCCTTTGTTAACACTACTCCTTTAAGCAGATACCACATAAAGATCTTATTTTTGCGAGGCATATTGAGTTTCCAGATGATACTATTCGTCTCAATATAACCATTATTTATTAAAGCTAAGTACATAAATCGAACCGAGAATTGACCATTTTGATGAAGGTTCCATCGAAAAACATCATTTTCTTCTATCAAATGAATATGAACAACTGAAGCACACAGGTCGTGCCAATTTATCAAATTATGGCTTACTAATGCTCACCTAAAAGAAACATTGAGCGGAACATAACTCATAACATTTGCAACTGAAGAATTTCTTCTATGAACTATAGAATACAAAGATGGGTACCCGTCCTTAAAGGAAGTATTGCATATCCATTTATCCTCCCAAAATCTAACTTGTTCACTAATATTAAGTATCCAAGATCCCATATTTAAAAAACTATTCTTAACTTTCATGAGACCTGACCAAGAATGGGAATCATCTTGTTTTCTCTCAACTTGATTTATTGATTGATTAATGAAGTATTTCCTTTTCAATAAGTCCTGCCAAACATCTTACTCATTTATTAACATAAACAACCATTTACTTAAGAAACATTGGTTTTATATCTCTCAATTATGAATTCCAAGTCCACCATGATCTTTTGGTTGACAAATAATATCCCACCTTGCTAGTCCATATTGCTTTCTATGTTCATCACCTTGCCAAAAGAATCGTGATCTATAATAATCAAATTTTTTAATGACCCCATTAGGAA